CCCGCCCAGGGATGGCTGCTTCCACCACCTCCCTGGGCTCCCACCCCTTCCCTCTCCTCCACAGCTCCTGCCCTGGGGAGGTGCTGCTGCTGAAGAAAAAGGCAGCCAGGGAATGGTCCAAACTTGAGGCTCACTAATGCCCATGGAGAGGGGCAGCAGCAGGGCTTTCTAAAGGTGGCTTAGCACTTGCCTGCGTCTCCAAATGCCCCTTCAAGCCAGCTGGCTGCAGTGCTTGAAGCAGCGCATCCTCCTGCGTTGGGCCTGAGGCAGGCAGGATGGGAGGCCCCGGCGAGGCAGCCCCGCCACCCCTGCCGGCTCATCTGTGCCCCGCGTTCTCTGTCACCAACATGATGTCCCCAGCTCCTGCTCTTTTTCCAGGCTGTGGAGACAGGGGTGCCAGCAACCACCTAACCCACAATCTTTAAAGATAAACTAGGGACCTTTCAAATGCCACCTTGAGAGGAAGCCGTGTTCGCTCTTCTGGATTTGGGGAGTTACTGATGGACTAAAAAAGTTCTGCTTTCTGGTTCAGTGATGTGCTGCAGGCTGCTGTGTGTGCCACAGCTCGGGGAGCCCAAGTATTTGCTTTCAAGCCTTATTTGCTAATGCGGGAAGACGTTAGCAACAGGTTAATTACACTGCCAAGTAACGATACTCATATAAGTCCATAGTACAGGGCAGCAGTTATTTTTAATATGAGGAGAAAGATTAAAAAAAAATGAATATATCCTTCTGCTGTTCATTGTGAAATCAGGCTTTGCTGGCGACACAGCATGCTGTCTTAGCAAGGGTCTCTCCAGTTTCATGGGAGAGGAGAGAAAAAGTGATTCTTGCCTACAGAGGGCAGTTATATGTTCTGCACAGTTAGGAAACTTGAAAGTGAAAGAGAACGGCTCAGATTTTGTACTCCTTTTAAAACTTTACATTTTCCCCAAAGCTTTTCCAATGCAATCTGTTGATTTCTCTGCTTTATCCTCTCAAGAACGAGTCCTCTTGACAGTCCTTTTATACATACTTCTTTTTTCCAGTGTTTGCAGTTCATCTTGTCTACTTATATTTTGCAGCTGTTCAATAGAGGCAGGGTATCTCAAGGGAAGACCTTATGGGGAAAGCTGTACTGCTTGCAATTTGTTAATTACGGACTTGGTCCAACAGTCCTGATTTCAGTGGACTTTCAGTCAGATCCTGTGTGCTACGGCATGTGTGCATGCAAAGCTTGTCTCCCTCTTGCTCTGTCTTTCTGACACAGCTGACTTTAGCTGGGTGTATCTGCATAGATTAGATTTTCTCTGATTCTATTGATTTCATCTCTTGCCTACATTATTTATTTTAAACCTTATAAATAATTTAAATATTTTTTAATAATTAATGCCATTTTTGTGTTCAGACCAATTAAATTTTTAGTCAGAGTTTTTGCTTGTGTATCCTTTTTCTTTCTAGCCTTTGCAGTGATATTCTTAATTAAATTATGTGACATTTGTTCTCTGAATCCTCTATTTTTGCTCTCAACCTTCTGCAGCTTCTCAGAGCACTCCAGGATTGTGGCTGCCCCTTTCCAAGAGAAGAGATTTAATTTTAAAAATAAGCTCGGCAACTTCTACTGTAGATATTTACATATGACATGTAAATTTTTATTGAGCTGACTCATTCTACTTCTGTCCCACATAGTATTCAATATTGTGTATGCAATATCTCAGCCTCTCTTTCTGCATTATTACTGCTCTACATATTGAAATTTAATTGAAGAGAAGTTAATATCATCTGAGATATAATGAAAGTTGAACCAAAGGGGGTTTCTTGCCATCTTAGCTCAATTTTTCTGAGCTTAATGTTTTTTCACTTGCAGGAGTTTCTTCCTACCTCAGACAGAGTTTTCAGTGTGAGTAGTAGCCGTATCGCCTGTAGAAAGGAAACAACTGCCCACAGTTTAGGCCTCACCAGGCCCCGGAGGGTTCCTTGAACCCTCAATGCACGGGGCTTTAAATCCATCTCTGAGTCTCTTCATGCTGTGTATTCTGCCCATGTTTGGGAACTAAATGTGGTTTGGTTTCTAAAATAAGAAGCATTTCACTTCCCCAAAGAGGTTACCCCATTTTATTTTGTGGGAATTTGGTAACCAAATGCCAAGATTTTCCCAAATTAAGAGATATGAAAGCAGTAGGGGCTGCACTGAAGACATTAAATTTTGCCGTTCATTTCCAAAGGCTAAGAAGTTAGAACCTTATTCATATGATTGCAACATGATGTCATCTAAACAGATCAAACAGACAAATGAAAGCAGCATGTTTTAAGGAACAGAAGTAGTTGGGAGATCAAGTTTTGTTTTATGAGGAGAATCTGGTAAGAATTGTTAATGCGAGCTCAGACAAATTATGGAAAATTGAACCTGATATGATGGTCCTTCCAGCCTTCCTGAGTTAGGCAATTCCTTTCCCATGTCTGTTTAACGCAAGCCAGCCCACCACTGTCCAGTAAATAGATGTATTCTTCTCTTCCTTCTCACTAGGTGATGTTTACAGAAGAGGATGTCAAGTTCTACTTAGCTGAGCTGGCCTTGGCATTAGACCACCTCCACGGTCTTGGAATTATTTACAGGGATCTAAAACCAGAAAAGTAAGTTAATGAGAAAGAGAAAACCGAAACATAAATATGTGAGCTTTCACGTTGTTTCTGCTCCTTGTCATGCTAGCAAGTCAAAAGGTGCCAGAGCCTCTGCCTTCTTCCTTGTATGCAAGACTCCATATAGGAGACCCTCCCCATCAGGAGCAGGGTCTTCCTATTATATCATTTCAGCATGAGACCAAATACTTTGACTCTGTTCCAGTATGTTGTGGCCTCCCTGTGCCTGACCTTCAGTTTAGTGAATGATCTGAGCGCGGGATTCAGATCTCTCTGCCTTTGACTTCAGCAGCACTGAAGCTGGCCTTCCCCTTGGTCTGGTATAAGCTGCTCAGAGCAACTCCACTTCCAGCTCCTGTGAAATATGTCATGGCACCGTCCAGTTTTATTGTAGCCATTGTTTAAAGTACATGAGCATCTCTGAAAATGAGTGTGCGTATTAGCTCACGAGAGACACAATTATCAGGATTTTAAAACCACTTTTATTAATGATCAAAAATATGTTCCCAAGAATTACTCCTGCCTATATTTGCAGCTGTTTTCCTAATGTGGTGCCATGGAGGTTTTTCCTTTTTTTTCTTTGCAGTACATCAATAGACTAAATTACACCCTCAGTGCTATCACTGGGAGTGATGTGATATTGTTTTTATTCCATGCCACTTGCCTCATGCTTTGCCTGCATCTTCTGTGCTGGCACCAATAAAACAGGCTGCAACAGGTCAAAGCTACCAGCCTTTTTAGTGTAATCGTCACCATCATTTAAAAAAGATGGACTGCTGAGAGCAGTCTGTGTGGCTGCTGTTTACAGTCCCAAAGTGTAACAGCAGAGCAGCCTTTTCCTTCTGTGACATGAAGTTCAAAAATATGCAGCTCTTTCTTTAAAATGGAGCGCTATTGCTTTCACACTCATGGACAAAAAATAAGAGACCAAGAGTAATGGAAGGTGAATTTTGTAGGTGAGAAGTTGAAGGGGAGGAGACTATTTATCTACAACACAGTACTATGTGATTTAAACTTTAAATTCAGTTTTATGTTTTGGTTACAACAGTAGTAGTAGTAGTAGTAGTAGTAGTAGTAGTATATGAATTCATACAGATGTATGTAACCAGAGCTCTCAGCCCTTTAGGCTAGAGACCCTTTCGCAGGTAACCAAAATTTCCAATCTCACCCATTTATGCAACCAAAACTGAAAAGCAGAGATTTTGGCAAATGCAGGAAGCCGTCCTCCAAATTAAACCACTGGAGGGATAAAAGTTCCAGTTTGTTACACAATATGGAATGCAGGTAGGCAGCAGTCACGCCACAGCTGCCGCTGCCACGTGCGGTTGCATTGTCTGCCAGCAGCTCTTCGGTCTCAATTTCATCCCAAATTGTTGTTTTATTCATTCAGCGTCAACAAACATGTACATAATAGAATAATTCCAATTACAGGTTTTCAGTTTTAAACTTTGTTTCTAGTGAGTGTTAGTATGACGCTACTTTTCTTTCTGGTGTTAGATGAAGCTGTTTTTCAAGCTAACATATAATACACGAAGCTGCTATTAGAAGGTATCCAAATATGAGCTTGTATATTCAAATATAAGTTCATGGTGCTGTTACATCTATAGGCACATGCCATCATTTTTTGCTTTAGGAGAAGTTAGAAACCGAAAGGAAAATTAAGTGCATGTCAAAACTATTCACTGTACTTGAGATACTGAGAGCCTGATTTTTCAGAGTTCTCAGCACTATGTGTCACTTTGCATTTCAAAGCACATCTCTCACTGACTTCAGTCGCAAGTGAGAGCACTTGAAATTTCCGCAGACCAAACCGCAATGTCTCAAATAGGGGATCAGTGAACTGAGAAATCAAAGCTCACCTGAGAAAGGAAGGTGTCACTAATTTGCCATTGTCACATAGAAATATGTCCAAAAGGCAAAGATGGAACCCAGTTGTCTGTGTATTTTTGTCTGAGCTGAGACCAGCCACCCATCCCCTTCACTGTACCACTCTGCTAAAATCCCTGAGTATATTTTCTGTTCTGCCAACTGAGGCAAGAGCTCTATGAAAGAAAACAAAAAGTATCGCCATGTAATTAAAGACCTTTATACAGTGAGATCACTGTCTAAAGTTGAGGTGGCAGCCCTCATTCTGGTGTTTCCTAACTTTTGAATGTATGGTTTATCATCTTTGATGTATAGTCAGATAGATACCAGTGGTACAGTTGAATCTGGATACAACTGTCGCAGTATAAAATTACTTTACATGAATATAATTATTGTTGTACAGGAAAGGGAATGGCCCACACTGATATAACTGAAGTTCATACCTGGGGATAAATCAAGGTGTCTGTCTGATTGAAAACCATGTCCTTTAAAAATAACTTTGTAGGTGCAAAGCCTACGTGTAGCCATGCCTAGGACAGCAGAGCATGACAGCCTGTGATTTCACTGGAACTTTAGGTTTAGAGTAAAAAAACAGGTACAGCAGAAAAAAAAATTCCTTCTGAAGGGAAAAAAGTTCTATATTTTTAAGTTATATCTGGGAAAGGATAGCTCTCTAAATGAGACAGTAAAATTTAGGACCATCCCAGGATGTTCTCATTCTCCCCTTCCTTCTGAGAAGGCTCAAATATATCAAGGTCATTACAGATGTGTTGCTAACCTGTTCTTAAAATAGCTGGTGGAGATGCCATGGTCTCCATAGGAGGCCTCTTGGAAGTACTCTACCAGTTGTACCTCTAGAAAGTTGCTCCTGATAGCTAATTTGAAATTTCTTTGGGGCAGTTGCAGTCCATTGCTCCTTGGCCTGTCCTCTTAGATTCCCCAGCCAGCTCATTCTGCTCTCAGCATCAGCCCCAGGGGATTGCAAGCACATCCACGTCCTTGGACCTCTCTTCTGTACCCTAAACACCCCAGATACCATACTCTTCTTCACCAGTCAGTCTTTCTGGGTGCTGTCATTCTCATCCCTCCCTTTGGTTTCTGTTGATCCATGTCTCCTTTGAAATGCAATGTGTGGAATTACAGCTACGTCTTCAGCAGAAGCATTACCAGTCTGATAGGAGCAGAAGGTTTACTCTGCCAGGTTTGCAGAACTGGAGATAAATGGATTAGTTTGTAACTTCCCAACTCTCTCTCTCTCCCCCTTTGTTAAAAGATCGGCACTGCATTTGACCTTCTTTCATTGTTCAGTGCTTTTGCTGCCCTCCAGAAGCTTGCAAAAGTAACTGCTAATAGGTTTGAAATTGCTTCAGTCAGCTCTGTAAGAATCCTAAAAGGAAGTTCATTGGAATTGTTTATGTCAAAGAAGACTAGTTAGAAAATAGCACTGTTCAGTCCACTTGAAAGAACTCTCAGTACGTTAAAATTTAAGGTTCAGCATTTTTTTTAAGATTCCCTGAGCAAAAATCTGTATTAACTATTCAAAGCTATGAATTAATTTTAAGTGCAAGCAGGATATATACTGTGGGAGTTGTTATAAAGTTAGTTGTACTTACTTAAAAAAGGCAAGCAATTGAGTTTTCTGGTTAAAGTCTTGTTCAGAACAAGCAGGTGCTTCTTCCCTTAAATTGTTGCAGCCAAATTCTTTTCCTTGAGTTGTGTTGGTGGTTTCAGTGGCATCCCTTGTGGAACAAGGTACTGTTCATTCACACTGAAATCAGTGGAGTTACTTACATGGCAAGGCATGTTTCTGTTTAAGAACTGCAGGATCGAGCTATTAAATATGGCTATCCTGAACTAGAAAAATGGGAACTTACTATCAAGTAGTATATGATGCATATGTTATGCTGTGGTTTAAGGGTTTTGACTTGCAAGTAACTCTACCTTCCAAAATGCACAGATTGTTGTATTTATTTTTGCCTTTTCTATCTCAGGTACCCAGGTGCACCTTGATACAATTCTGCTGTAGGGGCTTTGATTAACAAGGAGTGGTTTATGTTGTAATGCCCTCCGTGCAAGGGGCAGCTCATACAGATGCTCATATAACAACTCCTGAATTATTGAACTATATTAAAAAACCCCAAACCACCGCTGCCTAATGCAGTGTGTTGTAAACTGTGGCAATTCATTCATGAACGTAGCTGCCCTACGTAGAGAGGGAACATCTGAGAATCAGATTCACTTTGGGTGGAAAATCACCATCATCTTCCATCGAAGGAGGCAGTCAGTGAAGCTACAGCAGAGATGAGTTTGGCGTAAGACTGTTCAGCATGGTGAGATAGTATGGGGTCATGCAAACACTGAAATGTCACAGAGGGTGGACAGTTTGTGAGAATCTTCAGCTCTTTGGGAGGTATTTGAGTACTTTGCTCTTATCTGGTACTTTCATAACAACGTCTGCAATCAAATTAAACACTCCTTATGAAGTTTCAGGTTTTCTTTCCAACCTGAAATTTTGGCTACAATTTCTGAAAAACATAAAGTGTGGGTTGAATTTTCTGCACAACTGAGCTGGCTTGGAAAGAAAATTAAATCATCAAAAAAAAATCCCCAGAGTTTCAGCTTTAATAGATTTGGCAGAACTTCATGACGATTTGGGTATATTTGGGTTCAAAGTGAAGCCTAAAAGACAGAACTTGAAACTAAAAATAGAGAGAATTTCTATGGCCTTGGTTTAAGAGTCACTATAAAATAATGTCAACACCTAAGAACACAGGCTTTTTATCCCTGTGCTAAAATTGCAGCAAAAAAACTACTAAGGAGTTTGCAGTCCTGGCTCTACGATCAGCTGCTCCTGTAACTCGGAGTGTGTCACTCCCCTGCTGCTGGTTTAGCTTCCCAGCCTCTAATGTGGAGATTTTCAGCCTTTATTTTCTCAAGGCATACTTTTAATCTGAGATAAATGAAAGCAGTTTGAATGTTTGTAGGATGATCCTGAGGCTAAAATGTTTTCATTGTTTTGAAATAAAGGACGGGACGACAATGATAGTATCCTGTGAACACTGTCGAACCTTAAACCAAACAAATGTGGAAAAATCTCGTAGTGGGAGGTTATCACTCACTGGGATTACAGCTGAGTTTAGCATTTTGAAGTAGTCTACTTGTTATGTTTTTTATAATTTCAAAACATTGGTTTAGAGGAAAGATTTTTTTTCTCAAGCCTGAATCACATTAACAGCTTCTGGTTCTTTTTTCCCTTCTGCAAAATAATACTAGCTTATTTCAGATTAGCTGATCCTGCAAACCATAGCTAAAGTAACTATGATGGTCATGATCGAATTTCCGCTACGGACAGTGTGGGATAAAAAGGAACTGTAAAACGATAAAGATAAAAAGACAAGGCAGAAAGTATGATCAGATAGTGAGTTTGCTTCTCCAGTCAAAGGACAACTATTTGTCTGCTGTTGTAATTCGGATATTTAGGAGCAGGGACGTTGTTCTTTGCTGCTTAATGTCACTGTAAGCTAAGTCAGTGCAACAGTTACCTTTTTTCTCACTGTTAGCATGTTATTTTCTTTTTACATCAAATGTGATTTTCAGTTCCTGACCGTAGCGTTACATGGGTTGGCAGGTGGCGAATGTGGAAGCACCCAGCTCTCCAAAGGGTGCTGCCAGGCGCCACAGGGGAAGCTGCTGGCAGCCAAGGGTCCGTGTAGGGGTGATTGGAGAGCACAAGGCAGAGGAGGGAATTGCAGACAAAGTTTTAGGGGTTATAGAATACACATCCATAGGAAACCAGGATCCATTTGTTTTGCTGCTCACATTCAGTGTGAGGAAGTCTGTTCTATGCTTTTGGCTCGCTTAGCCTAAGACAGTATTGTCAGTCCGATAGCTGCGTTGGTATTGCCTCCATCCCTTGCATGAGGGTAAGGTATGGACCCTCTAATGAGGGCAAAAGTATGAAAAACATGTATTGTATACATAGAAAAGCAGCACAGATTTTCAGTAAGAAATCCATAAAATATAAAATCAATGTTTCTGGGGAAGATTCAAAGATAACCTTTGAATTTCATGGTTATTCACAGGGGTTTGATGGGTGTGGGGAAAAATTTTGGGTGATTTCTGTGAGCTGTATTCCCCCTTGCCATTTGTGCCCTTGCCAGGTCTGTGGAGTTCATACATTCACACTCACTTCCACACTGGCAGGTGTTTTATTCCGTTCTCTTCTGAAGCACAAGCCTCTCATTTAGGGATTGCAGTCACAAAAATACATTTAAACATGCCTGTTACAGGCTAGTACTTAAAAACTGTGCCTCTTCAAGAAATCTGGGGAGAAGAATAGAGGTAAAGATGCTTTTATTGAGAAGAAAAAGCTTTAATTATTGAACACATTGTAGTGACTCAGCAGCTGGCCTTTGTTTGATGAACTACACAGTCACAGTCTGTTCTAAACACAGGAATGACAGAAAATCATCTCGTTTCAGTTATGTTTCAGTACAGAGACAACCTTGCACAAAAATACAGCCCAATGTGTTTGTTTTACTTCCGTCTTATTTTCTTCCTGAATAATTGGATTAAAGTGACTCTCTAAGAGGAGATGAATACAAAAAGAGTTGTAGACCTTGCTCACCCATTTTGAAAAAAGAACTATACTAAATCAAGCTAGAACTGAAGAAACACCGCCCTCATTACTGCATCGGTACTTATAGGCAGAAAAGCTACCAAAAATCATTATTTTTCTGTTTCAGTGTTCCTTCTTGTTTCCATAAAAACTCTTGCAATGCTTTTTGTGAACTACAGTTAGTTTTTTCAAGGCAACGTTGGAGTGCCTTTGTGAGAATAAAATATGTTGGCAGGTGGCAAACGTGAGAACACTTGAACTTGGCTTCCAGGCTGAATTTTCATTTATGCTTCCGGACAGAATAAATTAGCAGGGGCTGAGATCCATGCAGTTAGACTGTGACTAGTCATTATGCTCTACGATCGCTTTTATTACTTCAGCATGAGCGTATCTACCTTTGGAGTTAATTTTAGGTCCGTTGAGTCCAAGCCCTGATTATTTGTGGGCTTGCCTTTATTGTTGTGAGAAGAGCAGAAAACCTGTAGCTCCTTCTCCTGCTGGAAGCAGATACTCTGCAGTTGTTGGCTGCGAACACCCTGTTCTTTCTGAGCTCGGTTAGCATGCCCACCCTGAGCATGCTATGGAGCCAGGAGGAGGCTCCCCGTGGAACTGCCACAGGCCATGTGTGCTTCAGACATGAGGTTAGACCAGCCTTTGAGGAACATTTTTCTTTCTGGAGGCATATAATCCACTGGGAGTTTGTTTACACGTGTATTTGGGTCTCACATATCTCCTTAACGATATTAAACATGTTTTATTCATGTTTGTTGACTGCACTCTCCGCCTGCCTAATGAATGAATGTTTGCTTTTTTGCTTTACAGCATTCTTCTTGATGAAGAGGGCCACATTAAGATAACAGGTATGTGAGGAATGGAAAACTTAATGTCTACAAGCTGGGGTTTTTTTCTGCAGTGCATTCCATGCATCTTGATTTTTGTGTGGAAAGAGTTTGCTTGCAAAACCACAAAAGCCAGAAGAGTTTAAGCATTGGGGTTCTCTTCTCTGGTAATTAGTCAAGCACCCGTGCTGCACAGCAGATGGAGAACATAGTGTTTTCTTGGTAAAATTGTACTCCTGACTGATGTGAAGCGTGCAGGCTTGACTGCCTACCACCATGGATGGAAGGGTGCTTCTAGTATGACTGCTTACTCCAGTTGAAATTCTCTGAATTATGTGCAGAGGACACCTGGAAAGACATCCCTTTGCCACCCTGGAAGTGCTGTCTGGCCATCCTTTTCACTGTTGTCCATCTGGGATTATAATTTATAATGCTTTGGTTATCTGAGTAAGAAACCTTTCCAGCATTGTCTTCAGCAAACCTGAACTATGTATTTCCCTCTGTTTAAACTCTCTCTTCTGCTTTGGGCCGGAATCTCATTTTGGACAGAGAAAATGATACGCCTACGTTCAGGACATATTAACAAATGCCAAGCAGGCATTCCTCACAGGCAGGGCTTCAGCACACACGTGCCTGTGACCTCTCTGCACACAGACAGAAGGGTGCTTCATCGGCTGGTGGGTGCGTTTGGTTTGAGAAGTTTAAGTGACCAAAAATATAAATAAGATCTGACAAGTCCCTTTTGTTTCAATTTATTTAGATTTCGGTCTGAGTAAAGAAGCCATCGACCATGACAAGAGAGCGTATTCGTTCTGTGGAACAATAGAGTATATGGCCCCAGAGGTGGTCAACCGCCGGGGACACACACAGAGTGCTGACTGGTGGTCTTTCGGCGTACTCATGGTAATGGAAAAGTTGTGTTTGTTTGTTGGAGGGTGGTTGCCTGTAGAAGTGATCAGACCCCCTTGGATAAAAAGTACCACTTTCAGCAATTAAGGGTTGATAGGAAAGTAGCTGTGTAATGGTTGCTTGATCATTTTCATTGCAGCAGTGACAGGGAACCGGCTGCTCCTGGCAGTATATGAGGTAGCATTTGGCCCAGATTCTCCCTCTTCATTCTCACAGTCCTTTGCTGTCTCAGTTGGTTACCGTGAGCTATGAATATTTCCATTCCACAGAAACAGGGCAGGGCAAGCTCAGAAGAGCTCCAGCATTTCAGAAGAAACATCTGCCCAGCTACTAATGTGGTTCCTGTTAGGAAACAATTCCCCAGGCAGCAATTTTTAGAGGCTAGGGATATCCTCTTAGAGAAACTCAGAAATTTACTCTTTCTTTCTGCAAAATATAGATTAAAAAGAACATACTTTAGAGGGCACTCTGAATGTTTCACAGGACCTGAATGGTTCTTTTACCATTCATCTATCTGCTTCACATCAACATTGCTGGCTCTTGTTCCATTAGTGACAATCAGGTAGTTTTGGGACTACCTGGCAGTGGATTTCTAGTCAGTCTTATTAGCTGGTGGGAGACTGTCACTCAAGAACCTCTTTTTTCTCCTGTTGGGAAAAGAAAACACAGACAGGCACCATGTCACCCTCCTTTCTTCTTCTGTACCATTTTGCTCTGTCTTGATTACAGCTAGTTTGGGACGTTTGCGTTGTCCTGAGTGCATGCTGAAGCTGGTTTTAAACTGGCATATGTGAAACAGTTTTAAAATTACTTCCCTTCATAGGGAGGAAATCACCATAAACAGACACAAATCTATTAATTGGCACAGAGGAATAGTTAGGAATTCATCTTTTTCATACTTGTATTTGCATTGGATTAACTATCAAAGGGGATATTCTAATTGTATCTGCTCATCAGTGATAATTTGTGACCGAGGAATATCTGGCACTGAGGGGAAGAAGGCCCATTCCTCAACACCATACAAAGCTAACAATTTTTCCTGACTGTTGCTTAACTTTTAAGAGTCCTGCAAGCTATTCTGGAGGTAGTTTAAATGGAATCAATATTTGAAACTGTGCTAATTCATTTTTTATATGTGGAAATCAATGGAAAGTTAGCTAAAGCACAACATGTATTTATCAAAAATCAGTCGTGCTAAATTAACCTGGTATTTTACTTGATGAGATAGCCAGCTTTTTCTAAACAAAGTAAATGAAGTGGATCTCATGTGCCTGCATTATAATAAAGTATTTGATACAGTGTTGCAGGTGAAATTAATTAATTGAAGGAGAAATTCATTAATTGAAGATGCTTATTAGTCCAATAATGGTCCAAAGACATCTATGAATGCATCACAGGGAAAAACACCAGAGAGAGAAATGAGCTATTTAAGCTACAGAGTGATGTTTCCCCAAGAGCAGATAGGAGTAACATAATTGTAAAATATTTGTAGCCTGGAAAGTAGAAGAAAGCTCCCCACTGCTTAAGAAGTGAGGCCCTGGAAAACAGCTTTTCCAAGAAGAGCTCTGCGAGAGGTATCTAGTAGCTACAGTGGAGCTGCTTGGCTTATGAGAAAGGCGCAGTAACATCCTTCTGAGGGCTGCAGTATTTGACACTGGGATGCAGCGTCAGGGAAGTTTTTCAGAGAGGTACTGAACCCTCCACACACCAGCCATCTAAAATTAGGTGTTCAGGTGCTAACCTGCTCCCTCCTGCGCCCATCCAGCCTCTTCAGTCTGTGGTGCCATTGCTGCTGAGGATGATGAAGGAGAAGTTGTTCTGTGATGCTCTATTTTTGAAAAGCTGTATGAATGCTGTAGGTTTTTTGAAGCAGTTATTCCTAGCGTCGTTTTATCAGGCGCAGTGCTGTCCCTTGAGCATTTACTACTCCCGCAGGGATATGTTCAGGTAATGAAGGTGATGCTGCTGTCTCCTGAAGCGTGCAGGCTGCAGGTCTGCCCAAGGGCTCGGTGCACGGCCGTGAACCAGCAGCGCAGCCCAGCGCAGCTCTGCAGCTGTGGCTCACGTCGCACCTCACCGTGGTTATCACGGCTCCCCTGCAGAACCAGGGCAGAAGCATAACGAATGTAGCAACCTGCTCTTCTAATACAGCTCCATTTCCTCTGGTACGGACACTATTTTAGGTAGCTATATATTAGACTACAGCCCACAATCCCTAGAGTGTGTTTAAGTGTTGTTTACCCTGAGTAGAAAACTGGTGTCACCAAAGGAAGTAAGGATAGGAAGCAATGTGAATATGAGTGAAAATTTGGTGTGGGGAGGGCCTACATCACTGATCTAGCTGGTTGACAGCAGTTAATCTAAGTAAATAATGTAATTTATTACCTGAATTTAAAAGGAGTGGAACATCTTTATCTTCTGTAGCCACAAATCCATTTGTGGATGCTCAGCACTTCTGAACCACATACGTTTATACAGGAAAATCAATAGGTTATGTCTCATATAATAAATATACCCTGACCCTTGAAATGTTTTTATTACATGTTTAGCTTTGGAGGATAGCTATGCCTTCTCACTGTCTGTCTCCAGTTAAAAAGAGATGATGGCGCATTTCGTGCGTAGATTGTTTTTCTTCCACCTGCTAATGAACTTGGCTCCTTCCCACCTGTTTTTTGCTAGGCTTTCTTTTTTTTTTTCTCCCCTCCACCTCTCTTTTCCTCCCCTCCCCTGGGGATTCAATGCATTACAATTAGAAAAGATAAGAATCCACATAAAAGGACATGAGTTAAAGAGAGTAAAGTCTTTTTAACTGTAAGCTAATGCTTTAAGCCTTTGAATGCTACCAGACATCTTAGAAAAAAATAGCTTTAATCAGTTCAATCTTTTTTCCTTTCTAATAATTAACTGATTGGGGAAGAAAAAGGGTATTTCCAGGCACTAAAAGTGCAGGAAAATTTTCAGGTTCTGTCTTTTGCTCTGCTCATCTCTCCTTGTTTTCCTCAGTCTGTCACTTGTATGCTCTGCTAGGGAAGCTGATTTTCTGCCAGTCTGAAAAACTGAAGAGAGTGAAATGGTATCCAAATGATTTATTAGCATTTCTCTCTTAGAGTAATTTGCAGTATGATGTGAAATAGACAAAGACAATATACCAGTGGGTGGCAGAGCCACAGACTGAAAGGAACTGAATGTGATAGTGTGATTTTCATTCCTAACATTTCGATCGATAGAAGGAACCTATGAGGCAGATAGTGATACAGGGGCCTGTAACCTAGCCAGAAGAGCAACCGAACACTCGCTTGTCTGTTTTATTCTGTGAAGAAGGAGTAATGCCGTGGTATGAAGAGTCGGGTTGTGCTAGCAGCTCCTTGCCAACCTGCACTGACCAGGGCACAAGCTGGAATCAAACTGAATGATCCTTGAAGGCAATGGTAAATGTGGCATGCTGTGATTATTAATATCAAAGCAGACTTATCTGAAAAAGACTAAGTTCTGATCTTGTCTTACTAACTAATTGTTGTTATTAATTATTACTCAGTCGGAGTTTTACTCTCAACAACAGTAGAACTTCATTTACCACCAGCTAAGTCTGACACAGGCCACAAAACCAAAACCTCTGCCTGCTCTGTTCGTTTGCCACTCAGTTTGTTTGAATTGTTTTATGGAAGCTTAGTATGTGTCAACAGGTGTACCTTATAGAAATCTTGAAATTCACCCTTGCCAAGCTTTCCGCAGGACAGTACCTGCCTCTCCCTTAGTATGTGATAACGACTCCTGGGACGCAATTAAAAGTTTGTGCTGGTGAATTTATTTGGTTTATCATGACCGGGCAGATTTTGTCTTCTGCCTTCCTACATCTTACTCATTGCATTGGAGATTTTGGATAGGACGTGTTCTACAAAAGCTTTGCGTCAAGAGATCTGCATTAGCAAGCCATAGACTTAAATTGTTAAAAAGTCGTGTATATGACTAACACCTTTTCAGCTGCACTGTAAGAGCCTTGATGCCCACACTGCCATCTCTGGGGCCCAGATAAACTCATCGGCGCGATATAACATGCACAAGACTCTTGGAAGGCCTCTCAACACAGTGGTTTTGTAGTTCATCGTACCAGCTGATTTACAAGGCCACAGACCTCATGGAAGTTGTATCTGTTTCAGTCCAGGAAAAAAAACAACACTGTACACCTTTGAGAGTCATGTGAGCAGAGAGGGGACTATAAATAGAGAAAGAAGGAGTGTGATGACTCAGTAGGCAGTCCCGAATAAAAAGAAATGTGTCTATATTTGTCAGCAATGTAGTGAATGTGTAAGCAGTGAAGTCTTCACAAGAAAAGAAAATATCTTTTTGGTATCCAGACAAAGTAGTCAGTGCTGTAGTAATTTTGTAGTAACTGTACAGTGCCACTGGAAAAAATCAATATGAGACATCAAAGCAATACGATCTTCTTTTCCAAAATGCCATTGTAACACTTGTTTTATTCCCACTGCAAGGAATGGTCTTCACGAACAGTATTTTGAATGTTTATGCTAGCTGCTATGTGAAGGTATTCAAACCCTTTGCAAACACTAACTCATGATGCTTCACACCTGGCTAATAATGAAAAATATTTAATGCATTTTACAAATAGTAAAACTGAGCGGCTGACCGGCTTCCAACTACCTGGAAAATGACTGGAAGTGTTGAGAGAGGAACCTGGCTGTCCTGACAAGAGTGTCTCTCTCTGCTTTCCCAAACTGAGCAGTTTCTTTGTATCCCTGAATTTTATCCTAGGTTCGCAATACTTTAGCAGACTTGGGCTGAAGTAATTTGCACAACCTGCTCTCCTCCCATCTGCTAGGGAGATTCATCTGGCAGTTACCCTAGGCTGTGGATTTTTTCTCGTTCATTATCTTCCTCAATGACCTACCAGGATTGCTTCTTGAATCCATTCCCTCAGGACATGTGTCCCTCTTTCCCCAGGTCTTCCCACATGTGTATCTTCTGGGGTCTTCAGTCCTGGTATTTTGCCAACTGAAATTGGCAATTGCCCTGAAAATTAGAGAGAGGAAGCACTGCAGAGTATGTCAAGACTTAAGCAGGGGCTGGATTAGGTGACTCCTGAGGCCCCTTCCCATCAAGCTTTAGTTCTGTTCATTATCTTAAGAGGCAGCTGAACTGGAACAGGGAATATTTGCCTTTCTTACAGAATATTGGTACAGAAAGGACGTCAAGATTGAAGGGAGGCAAAGCCTTCTGAAGTACTGGATAACAGAAGGTGGCCCTCCAGAATACCCAAGAAGCAAATCATTGGAAGGCAAGGAGCAAACATGATTTATACAAATGGGGAAGTGGTGAGAGTGAAAACTGAATCTCCTGGGAAAACCAATAGGGTCTGCTTTAATAGCCAAAAATACTAGAGGGTTTCTTCACGCCTGGGCTCAGCTCCTTGTCAACCTGCTGTGACCCATACAACTCTGTATGTATGCGGAAGGATGTTAGCAGCAAGTGCTCACTTCTGTTTGCCTGTTTAGGTTTAGCAATATTCTTGGTTTGAAAAAATAAGCAGGAGAATAAGTTGTTGTACAGTAAAGCAGTAGCTTTAACTGATGAGATGAACTATTCTGGGGTTTTTTTTCAGTCTTGTTATTTCATTTTTAACCTTTAACAGATGTAATCAGGACTGCAGTTGAGAAACCAGTGTTTTCTGCCAGCTGCTGCTCAGTTGAGTTCATTGAAGTAAAAAGCTCTGGTACATTTAACTCATTGTAGCTGCCTTTAACTTTAAATATTGATGTTAAGTGCATTTCTTCTGAATCTGAATTAATCTCAGCATTAGACCTGCGTAATGGGAGGCATGTGGTAACAAAGTGCTAGCCATTAGTGCAGAGCAGTAAATATTCCCTGCAGCCTCCTGGACAGCCATTTCCCCTGCTCCCTCCTGCAACTTAAATTTCTTTTTTCCTTCCTTCCTCCCTCCCCTTTTGGACACTGGGCCTGAATTTCTTGATTTCAGATGTCTTGGCCCCTTGTACCCACGGTGCATTTGTAGATCTTTCTGTGACACCGTGGTGGGTGGGAGCTACAGTTGTCTTCTCACGTAGTCACTGACCAGGCAGTTGCTTATATCTGTATCATCTGCATCAGCAGTGTCAAGCCCATTTCTGCCAAAATAAATGAGCTGTAGCAGTCATTGTTAGTGCTGTTAAATTAGATTTATTAAAACAACAAAGTAACATAAGCAAGTGTAAGTGAACATTAGGTACTTACCGTGAACGTAAACTCTTTAGAAATCATGAGGGTTTGGCACAGTATGTGCCACTTCTGCTGCTGCCCTGGGAAGCAATGTTCTCCCCCCTTCATCCCCAATATAGCCAAACACTTTTATCAGGTCTAAGGCTCTAATAGGTCAGAATTACTTTGAAAGTGGTGCCTGAGCTCCAGTGCCATTTAGGCAGTTTTAAAAATTCTCCTCCATCGTGTTTCTCTCTAGAAGATGAGCTGCTTTCCTCCAGCTCTACCAGGCAGCTCTTCTCCTGACTCTCCTAGACCAAGCAGGAGTTAACACGTTTGTGTTTTCCAAAACTTGTTTATATTTGTCAGCCATACACACTTTTTAAAAGTGTTTTTTCCTTGTTTCTACTATGTGTTTTATTGCCTTGAGGTTACTAATGCAAATTAGTCCTTCATTTAATTATAGTCAATTAGTTATCTGGCTTCTAAACCCCTCCTCTGCTGCCCTCCCCAAACTAGCATAACAGTTTCACAGTTACAGTTTTCTTATGTTTTCTTACATTTTTCTTATGGTATGGCTATATTTAATCTGGAAGAGTCAGGCTGTGGGGGAGTCTAACACAGGTTTTGGTAATGAAAGGATCCTTTTTTGCACAAATTTGCTTCCTAAGAGCAGTAAAGCTACTTTTGTGATAAGGTACAAAAGCTACATAAGGGTTGCAGAGTCTGTCCTGCCTTAACAGGTATTTAACTATAGCAAAGAATATTAATTAGTAGGTATTTATTATAGTAGAAGACATCTAAAGAGCTGAGCCACAGACATAAGCAAGTAACAGTTCTGACTGGACGTTGTCCTCCTTTGTGCGCTGGCTGAATTATGTTCTTGGTGTCTTTGTGTTGCATAACCTTCATCATCCCTTAGTCTGAGGAACCAGCTGCCACTTACACCCCTGTGAAACACTGTGGCAAGAGCTGCATGAAAGACCTGGTATTGAATCCATACTTGGCCTTTTTGCTTGTTTTTTTTTTTTTTTTTACAAATGTGAAATTCCTGTCAAATTTACTGAAAGCACTGATCTGTTTCAAAGGAACCATAACTGATTGATGGTTTCATGTGTGAGTTAGGCAAATAATTGATGATTGCTGAGTTTTGCTTTGAGATTTGCGTTCAATTAAATGTGAGACTTGCAAAATTCATCATTTCATACAGCTGGGGGAACCAAAGTGGGAGAGAAAAAAGCACACTCAAATGCCTTGAGAATGTGGAGTTTGTGCATGTTTTTTCCTGCAAAGTATAGCATTGGCGTCACTATGTGGTGCAAATGTACAATCAAAAAGGTGGTTCAACTCAAGCTAAAAAGATGAGGAGTGGCCTGTTGAACCCGTTTTCCTTGCACCACATCCATGCCAAACACCTAAGAACACCCATACCCATGCAGACTAAGGGTCTCTCAAGCCAACTATCTTATCTCCAGCATTGGCCATAAAATGAGTGCTGGAGGAAACAACATATATGATGTTTCTTCCCAAACATACCAAAACTTGACCCCAAGTATCAGTGTAAACAGTTTGTAACAAGACTCTTGAACGAAACGTCATGTTCTGCATAATCCACACTGTGTCCTTTTTGTCTGAAGTACAGCTTGTTGGACCATTTCTTTTCCTCAAGTTTTCAGTTGTGTTGGAAATAGAAGGTGGTTATGGTGTCTATAGGCTCTGCAGACCATCTCAACGCTCATTTGATTTACCATTTTGTTTTTATTCCACAGTTTGAGATGCTGACGGGATCGTTACCCTTCCAGGGAAAAGACAGAAAGGAGACAATGGCACTCATTCTCAAGTGAGTATCGAAACTGCTGTTGTTCCTCTGACTATGAGTTAACTGTACCCTACAGGCAGCCTGTAGGTCCTGAGTATATGAAGTGTAGAGAATACTAATGTGCATAATGCGTTTTTCAAAGCCATGTAAGGCATGACTTTGGTAAGGCATGCACAGCCGATGCCTGCATGTGGCTCTAAAATTGCCTTCAGAATAAATAGTAGGAAGTGAATTACTGAGAGGGCCTTACAAAAGAAATGTATCTTACTTTCTGTAATAAAGAATGCCATTATCCACACAAAAGTGGGAACAGTCAAATTTCTGCAGGATGGCTTATGTTTTATTGTTGCCAAGTTTCAAATCTTTGCCTTTGCAAATTTGCTGTTCATTTAATATTCAATTCAATACTTGCAGACACAAGTATTTTAAGCTTATCTTTGCTCAGTATTACATTTTTTCTCTGTGGCAGTGAATTGCCAAGGGAAAAGTTTTACTCTCTTTAATCAACATGTGGCTTAGTGTAATTATTTTCATGAAGTTTTGTTTGTTTGTTTAAATTCTTCTTCATTCCCAGATTTATTCCAGCAAGCTAAAAAAGTGAAAAAACTTCTGTAGGAAAATGACCTATTTAGGTTGCAAAAGGTGTTATGAGATTCTTTAGATCTACTCTACCTCTGGTGAAGCCAGTGGTAAAAACTTCTTTAACCTCAACAGAACAAGGCCAGGTCCTCGCTCTGTATTGCATTATGCTCAGGTCGCCTTTGGTCACCAAATTCACGTGTCTGCCCATCCTGACTACTACAATTCCACTTTTTAAACCACAGTGGGATGGAGAAAATTTCTGAGAAATCTATTTTCTTTTCAAGTGTTGTGTTCTTTCAGAGCCAAGCTGGGAATGCCACAGTTCTTGAGCATAGAAGCCCAGAGCCTGCTGCGAGCCCTCTTCAAAAGGAACCCCTCCAACAGATTAGGTACGCGTGTGCATTTGATTGCATTTGATTGGGGCATTTGTTATGCGTGCTCTGCCTTGCCAGGTAGCGATGGTTTCTCTCGGTGCATCTTCTCTGATAGTTATCCTCTTCATTATATGGCATTTCGCATTCCCTCCCAGAGCGTAGTGAACCTTGAGCGTTACTAGAGAAATTTGCAACAAGCACAGGCAAACCGCTGGAATCTAAAACATTGTATTAGCTTGTATTTTATTTTTTCGGTGAAGAGGGAGAGTAAACCCTCAGCATTTATGAAGGGTTTAAGGTAGCTGCTGCATATGATAATATAGCGAAGTGAGAAACATGTATCTTTTTAATTCTGTATAATTTAGCTGCAAATCTGAGGTGGGGAACAAAAGGGAATAGAATTTGTCTCTCCTATTCTCGAATGCGTTTCAATGCTGTCTCGTTCTGTTTGCTGGGAACATTTTCGCAGTAGGCTTTCTTCTTTATTACCCTAAATATATTATCTCCTTTCCTACTAATGTGGTTTCACCCTTTGTTTATAATCCTATCTAAATTATGATAAACTAGAAGGATGTATTGGATCATGTATCTTATGCCATCTGTACCTTTGTTTGGAAGTTTTATTAAGAAATTAATTGTATTTGGCGAAACCATGGACAATGCTTGGTGCGTGATTTTCATTGCAAATTTGGTCTTACGTTTTTACATGGAAAATTAAGAGTAGTCATATCAAGTGAATGATATAAAGGTATTAGCACAGTATTGTTTTTCATTTAAAAATCATATCTAGTTCTGTGAAAAATTTTGGAGGTATCTTATTTCCCCACAGCTCTCATAATTCTGCATTTCGGGTGAACAATGGAAGAATTTGCTTCTAAAGGAAAGGGACAAACCTCTCCTTCATACCTCTGTGGGTTTTTTGTGATCTTAGGAGCAGGAATTTAATCCTTCAGTTCTGTAAACTGTATCACAAGAAGAGACCTGATGGGTCATAGTTAAATAAGTGGCTGACTGTCGTTGCCATCCATAGGAGTTTTGGCAGCTAATAAATGACTTGTCTTTTAGAGAATGGCATAGACTAGTTAAATATTGAGACTTGTGAAACGCAATTTGCTGTTTTCTCTTGTAACTGTTTATGCTTGTAAGATTATTTCAGATTGAAGACATGAAATTAGAAGCAAAAAGCTGAGTTACTAAATGGCTTGTTCTGAGACGTTGAAAGAGCAAGAGGTGCAAGAGGGGTTCCTCTCTTTCCTCCTTGCAGTACCCACTCCCACTTTCTGAAATGCTGGAGGTGGTGCTGCAGCAGGTCTGCTGCATGGTGCTTTTGGTCCTCTGCGTGGCAGTCGCAGCATTAGCAGCCAGACAGGCGGCAGAGCACAAAAAGTTTGGCAGCCCACTTCCATCACCATCTGCCTGAGCGATGGCTTCTGCGGTTTCCAATGGGCACGTGTGAGTGTGCACGCACACGTGTGGAAGATGGACTCTCTGCTCTCTTCCTTTGAGCTTCTGCTTCACTGTTTCATGTTCTGGTAGCTCTGTCCCTTGCTTCGGGTGGGGCAGCATGTGCGCTACTCCAGCCCTCTGTTTTATACTGAGCACCATCAGACTGTTGGGTTTTAGGTGAATGGATGCTTTCTGCCTGGCTGCAGCAACTCAGCTGGAGTCCCCACCTCATGCAGAGGGCAGACATGGTGGCTCAGCTGCTTCCTAAGAGCGCCGGGCTCCTGCAGACAAGGAGAGTATGGAGCAGGCTGCCTGTCACTGCGACCGCCGGGGAGAGCAGGAGCCCAGAGCCCTTGCTGCACACAGGGACGGGGGACAACCTGACCTCCCACCGGGCTGGGCATGAATGGGGAGCCAGCCCCTCAGCACGCTGCTGTGGCCCCTCTCCTCCCGGCAGGACACCCGCCCAGCCCGCAGAGGGAATGCCCTCCCATAGGTTTTACCTCTTGGCCTAAACAGTAGCGCTCATAGTCTGATATGCTGTAAAGATGATAGTGCAAAACCACATTTTCTCAGCAGGTTTCAATTGCTCTCAAGCAATTTTCTTGACATTACAGAAAATTAGAGTCTTGGGATCTCTAAGTTTAATCTACATTCAGAAAAATAAGATGCTGCAGCAAATACAAACTTTTCCCCACTCCACCCCTCTTTTCCCTTCTGCTGTTTCCTCCCTGTTCCCTTCTCTTGGTTTCATTCGGATCTGCTTGTTTGTGGCTTCCCACAAGCTGCTATCCATCCAAAATGGGACTCCATTGAAGTCAGTGGGAGTTTCTGGATACCGATCCTTAAATAAAAAGCTGCTCGCTAAATAAGTACAGTTGTTTAGCTCTAGCCATGAGAGTTCTAGTCCCCATATCATCTCACTTTTAATAATAGGGAATTGCTAAAGGTCAAGGTTTTAAACCTAAGTTTTATTGAAATACTGGGAAGGCTGAGAAAGGAAGAGGTTATTTATAGCACAAACATCCAAGGAAATAAAATCTAAAAGACCCCTTAACATTTCAGGGGTAGCAATGAAAAGCTTCTGAAGGCTCTCTCTGTTTTAACTGCTTGAGAATCAGCATGAAGGATGATGAAAACAGATGACTTGTTGGTAATGAAAGAAGGAATACTTAAATGGTTGGCCTAAATACTGAACAGAAGTCAGTAGATAAAAGGACTGCTTCTACTTTGTGGATTTTAGCTTTTTCTGGGAAGGGAATAATAGTCTGAAATTAAAAGAAAAGTAGGCTTAGACATCCTCTTTTGAAAAATCTTTGGAAAATTAATGAAGCATGCTAAAATAAATGAACCATGTTATGGATAAAACACTTATTTTCAGCCATTGTTTCAGAAGTTTGCAAATCTGGAAAGTGTTTGTATTTAGTTCCAAAGAGATTTTAACACTGGCAAGATGGAAGATTCTGACCTTTGGAAATCATTTTATTCTGCCTACCATCTTGCTTTCGCCATTTGATTTTGACATCTTAACAAACAGAAGTAAAGATTGATGATGTATTCTAAAAATTTGCTTTGAAACTTTGTTTTGAAGCATTGGATTATTAATGGAAAGAAATATTGCAGTTGAAGGGAGATACTCAGACAAGGTAGAGAAGGAATTTAGTAATCCCATTTACCTGATTCTGTTTTTAAGTCTGGTGCCCGTATTAATGCTTTAGATAAAATTATTAAGGAATGGAAAGTATTCTTTCCTTTGGCATCCCTTGTTACGAGCACTGTCCCTTTCTGAGCCTATACACTCTGCTGTACAGATAGTCTGCTTAGAACTGCTTTGGCAGTAATTCTCTGATTAAGTACAACATATTTCAGATTATAGACAAGTGTAAGTTTAGATTCTTAAAAGAAACTAACTGGAAGATCCAGGCAAACAAAGAGTAAGCCTGGAGAAAGGAAGACCTTCCCTCAGTTGAGGTAGACCAGGTTAAGGTTTTTTTAAGTAAGCTGGATGCCCACAAATCCATGGGTCCGTATGGAATGCACCCACGAGTGCTGAGGGAGCTGGCAGATGTCATTGCTGAGCCCCTCTCAATCATCTGTGAAAGGTCCTAGAGAACAGGAGAGGTGCCTGCAGACTGGGGGATAGCCAATGTCACTCCAGTCTTCAAAAAGGGCAAGAAGGAGGACCTAGGGAACTACAGGCCGGTTAGTCTCACCTCCATCCCTGGAAAGGTGATGGAACAACTCATTCTGGGTGTCATCTCCAAGCAAGTGGAGGAAAAGAAGGTGATCAGGAGTACCCAGCATGGATTCACCAAGGGGAAATCATGCCTAACCAATCTGATAGCCTTCTACGATGGCATGACCAGCTGGGTAGATGAGGGGAGAGCAGTGGATGTTGTCTACCTTGACTTCAGCAAGGCTTTTGATGCTGTCTCACATAACATCCTCATAGGGAAGCTCAGGAAGTGTGGCTTGGATGAGTGGATGGTGAGGTGGATTGGGAATTGGCTGAATGGCAGGGCTCAGGGGGTTCTGATTGGCAGTGCAGAGTCTAGTTGAAGACCAGTAGCTAGTAGAGTTCCCCAGGGCTCAGTACTCAGCCCGGTCTTGTTTAACTTATTCATCAATGACCTGGATGAGGGGACAGAGTGTACTCTCAGCAAGTTCGCTGATGACACAAAAGTGGGAGGAGTGACTCATATACTGAAGCTGACCATGAGCCAGCAATGTGCCCTTGTTGCCAAGAAGGCCAATGGTATCCTGGGGTGTATTAAGAGGAGTGTGGCCAGCAGGTCGAGGGAGGTTCTCCTCCCCCTCTACTCTGCCCTGGTGAGACCCCACCTGGAGTACTGTGTCCAGTTCTGGGCTCCCCAGTTCAAGAAAGATGAGGAACCTCTCCGGAGTCCAGAGGAGGGCAACAAAGATGATTAGGGGACTGGAGCATTTCTCCTATGAGGAAAGGCTGAGGGAGCTGGGCTTGTTCAGCCTGAAGAAGAGAAGACTGAGAGGGGATCTCATCAACACTTACAAATATCTTAAGGGTGGATGTCATAAGGACAGAGCCAGACTCTTCTCAGTGGTGCCCAGCAACAGGACAAGGGGCAATGGGCACAAACTGAAGCATAAGAGGTTTCAGTTGAACATGAGGAAGAACTTCTTTACTTTGAGGGTGACAGAGCACTGGAACAGACTGCCCAGGGGGCTTGTGGAGTCTCCTTCTCTGGAGATATTCAAAGCCTGCCTGGATGAAGTCCTGTGCAACCTGCTGTAGGTGAACCTGCTTTAGCAGGAGGGTTGGACTGGATGATCTCCCGAGGTCCCTTCCAACCCCTGCCATTCTGTGATTCTGTGTAAGCATCTCAGAAAGAAAATTGTACAATGAAGGTGTTAGTCCATTACATTGCCAGGAACTTAGGCAAGGGTCTAATTCTTATTTGCCCTAAGGCCTGGATCTGCTCAGGTAGGTAAATTAATGTAAAGACCATTTCAGGAACTCCCTACACCGCTGAGCAGTATAAAGGTTCCAAAGTCTTTATAATTGAGAAGCTTGGCCAAGAAATTACAGCATAAAAGCATGTTCCAGTAGATTCAGACTAAAAGCCAAAGAATTAGTTATTATTTCCTTAATCCCATGTTCTCAGAGAAGGTACATTCTGCTTTGGCACATAGAAAACTTTGGTTTTCAGTTTTATGAGATGGTGAGTTTTAAAAAACAAGTTTCACCTTTGTCAGGGTGACTGTACATCTTTCTTGTAAACTTTAGGAATGCATTTCAAAAAATCTAGCCCACTAAAAAGATTCAGAAGCTGTGGAGACACTACGGTTTCATTATCTGAAACTAAAAATCTGGAAACTGTTTCTGCTCATTTTGAATATCCAAATAATCAACTTTCAAATTCTATAGATCATCTTTTTTCCCCTTAATATATTTCAAGGCTCACATCATCCATAACGATCCAACAATCAAAACCAACTACAAATAAAACATTCTACTGTTACTGCTCGCAGACGCTTTTATTACAGGCATAAAACAATCTTAGATAATCAAGTTCTTGCTTATTAACATGAGGCTGCTTTTATATAAATCCTTGCACTCTATAATGTGTTTAAACTGGCAATTTGATCTGAAAGCATTATTTATCTTCTCGGACCCTTGGGGGCCTGGATGGCATGTAAGAATATTTGCAGGCAGTATGTTTGATTGTGCTGATTATTCTTTACAGATAGGCTCAATTACTAAATTGAAGTTAAAGTGAGGTTAAAAAAACAACCATAACCCTAGAGAAAGGTGAAAGGTTTGTGACCATGTGGTACACCATCATGTGCTTCACTTCAGCAGTCTGCTAAATACCCATCTCTTTGCCAAGAAACGTCCGTGCCCATGAAGCAAGACTTTCCATTTACTCCTGTGCTTCTCTTTTCTCCATGAAAGCACATCTCTTTCCAGTACCACTATGGATTTGCAGATGGTAGATAAATGTCTGAAACGTGCTTGAGCAAATCCAGAGAGACTCCAACCATAAGCACCGATACCTGACCTCTCCCATGGACTTCTGCAGCGGGGTCAGGGCTGCCTCTCTGGGCTCACAGAGCTGTCCCCAGTTGAGGAGAGGACCAGGCCACACACCGCTGGCTGCGGCTGAGTCTCATGGCAAGGAAGATCAGGGAATAAAATTTGCAGGAAGGGCTGAGCCTTCTCCATGGTGTAAAGTCAGCTGCTAGGAATTGGAAGTCCTTCACTCTTTGCAAAATTAGGCTATTACTGTCCTAAATCTCTTTAATGCATTAAATCAACCAGAGATGGAGTCAAGCCCTGGCACTCTTAACAATGTATTCTCTCCGTGCTAGAGCTCTGAGGTGGCCCCAACTGGGAAGTGCTAATTTTTCAAACAAATGCCTGTGTCAACTGCATGCTGCATTCCTTACTGCACACTGCAGTCCTCCACTGATGGAAGTAGCTATGGATGGGCTTTTTCCTTGGTTCTGATTTCTGTGGTTTTGTGGTAAAAGGAACACCAACAGTAGGAAAAAGTGTGGCTTTCAGATGGATCATCTGAAAAAGGCAGGTCATTACACAATGATGTATCCATAAGCCTACAAAAGAGGGAAAACAGTGGGGAAGGGACAGAGCAGAGAAGATTGAATGCATTGTCAGTTATCCTCAGTCTAGGGAATACTACCAGTCGCTTACAATGCTTACAAATGTAGCATTTATACCAGTACTTAGCAATCAGTTTGGCACTTGGGTTTCATCCTTACATTACAAAGTTTCCAGTCACCACCACTGAATGGAAAACATTTTTCACAGATATTTCTTCTCTGAAGAGCTGCTTAATGTAATTCTCTTCAGAGTAACTGTGTTGGTTTCATGTTTCTGTTGGCATTGCTAAAATCAGAATGAATCTGCCGAGGGTATCTAGTGCAGACTTTTGACTGTGTATTGCAAAAACATGCTGAGGAAGACATAGAACAAGTCTTATTAATATCTAGGTCTTAGTATTTTCTCCTTCAGTACCCAGGGGCCATAAACAACTGCCTAGGGAAGAGTAAAAATAGGGTAAGCATACATGATACTTCACCCAAATTCTCTCCCAGTCTATGCCTGCTTTAAGCTCAAGCAAGGGGTTTCCTGAACCTCTTGTGGTTTGTCAATGAAGTAATCTTCAACAGATTTAATTTCAACATACTTTTCTGGTGTCCCCCTGAACCCATATAAATATTTTGCATCCACGTCATCTTTTCCAAGGAATTCCATGTCACACAACTATCTTTTGCCTGAGGAAACATCTCCAGATTGTTCTGAACCCGATTTCTGCTAGCATCATTTAATGACCTATATTCTTGTACTGGGAAAGATGTGGAAAAGTTAATCCCTATCCCCTTGTTCCAAGTAATCATGACTTTTTAGATCTCTATTAAATACTCCCTCAGTCATCTGTTTCCAGGTTGAAAAGTCAGTCATTCCATACCATTCCTTGTTGCCTTTTGATTTTTCCTACCTTTAATAAATATACACTTTTATGGGTGAGAGTGCCGACTACATTCCATACTCAAGCTGTAGGTGCACAACAGACTTATGCAGTGACAATGCAATGATGTTCTCCCTTTTGTCCTCTTTTCTATTTTTAAGATTCCATTTCGTGTTTCCCTAGAACTGTCCATCACATCCCAAAGACCTCACTCATGAGGGGGGATGATCACCTCCAAACACATAATTTTGTATGGCAGGCTAGGATTGTTTATCCTCACGTGTGTCACTTACATTTGTCTATACTGTAAGATTACCAGGATGGGGATGTAATTAGAACAACATTCCTCTTGCGTTATTATCCAGCAGGCCTGATAGGCAATCCTGCGTGTTATGTTCACAAAGCGTTTGCTTTTCATATCCATTCATCAGGCCATGAAAAGCCATTCCTGATCAGTGCATTTTGGCAAACATCAGTAATATCTTGTATACAAGGAGAGCAGATGTCACATTTTACAAAAGCTTGAGTTGACAAGAGCTTTCTAAAGCTGCTTGTAAAGTTGATCTTCGGAAAGTACAAATACTGCATATAAAAAGCTGAGTCCTCTGAGGTGCTGAGTGCCTTTTGCAAGGTGCTTGTGAATCCCAAGTCCTTTTGGGAATAAAGGATGCTCAGCATCCTTGTAAAGAAGGGCTGAGTATCTTTCAGGAACTGATTCCAAAATTGCAATGCAAAGCCTTTGCTTCCAGATGTTATTTCTCCTACTGGAAAATGAAAGGTGCTATTAATAAAGTCAAATCAACCCCCAAAATGGCATGCTAAATCATCTCTGACAGTTGTTTAGTTATTACTGAGCACCTGTTGGGTTTTGCGATGGCACTGAAGCAAATAAATTCAACTAAAGAAATAAAAAGGGCAATCTTCAGTGAAGACAAAGGCAAAAGTATCTAAAGAGAAATGTAACAAAAAATTTAACAATATTATCAGCGAAGGAAACATACCACAGAGAGTGATGATTTTGATACTCCTGCAAATTTGAAGATGGTATTTGAAAAAGGGAATCTAAAACCCTGGCTTACCTCAAATCGTTTGGAGCCTTTTGGTATTTTGAGTCTGGATTTGTTTGTAGTGCAGTTTTCCCCGTCTGTGGAGAGTGGGCAATTAGACAAAATTTGAAAGTCAGTGCAGATAGAGGAGCTGCTGCTGGTGGCCGGGAGCAGCAGGAGCTTTGATGTAGTATTAGGACATCTTGGGGCCTCTCCTGGCCTCACTGGTGCAGGCGCTCTGTTCCGGCTGAAATCCCATGTCCTGTCTGAAGCCTGAAGAGAGCAGCTATTCAGCCTTGGCACCAGCCTCCATTAGAGAAAAGTGAAAAATCCTCAGCCATCAGATGTTTGTTCACGAAATGCCATTGTCTGTATTTATGGCTGTTTAGACTGTTATGGCAGTTGCACTGTTCAGGGTTTCTCGTCTAGAAGAAGCATTTAGATGGTGACTCCGGCTTTGTCAGAAGAAAAGAGGGGATGGGGAGGAAGGCTGAAGAAGAGATATCAGGCAGCACTCTTCTAAGAATGACTTTATTTTTATTCTTTCATTCTCTTGTCAGGTGCTGGGTTTGATGGAGTGGAAGAAATCAAACGTCACCCTTTCTTTGTTACTATAGACTGGAACGTAAGTGGAGCAGCATTTTATTTAATTTTTTTAAATTATTTTTCTTTAGCTAAATTTTTGAAGGCAAACTGCCATGCTTAGAAAAAAGATGAAGTGAATTCTAACATAGGGAACCCAGGAGCTGGAGTCTTTTAACTGGGTCCCTATATCTCTTGCATACATATATACATTCTGTTCACATACCCACAAGTGAAAGAAATAGAAAGCTGCTTTCAGCATTGCCATTTTTTTCTAACTGCTTACCTCTGCTTTGTCTGATGGTCTGGCTCACTACCTGAAGCTATTTGTAGTGCTCTGCAAAATAATTTCCACATTCAACTCTAGTAAGTGTGATGCATTGATTGTGGGAACTGAACTGGAGTGAAAATGAGCAGCTTTAAATGAAAGAATTCCTATAACATTTCAATCGCAAAGGAAAACAGAGCCAAAGGACTGGGCTTGAAAGAGATGCTCCAGAGGGAAGCAATCTGATGGTCTGGGTCTCTCCATCTTTCTGCTTTTATGTTCCATATTGAAATACTTGTCCCTTCTCACTGGGTAGGGCAAGCTGGACTAAATGCTAATTTTATTCTTTCCAGTATCAGGGACCTCCAGGAATGCTTTTCTCTCTTGGAATTATTTGGAGCAGCCCCAGGTCTGCTCTTACACATACCTGCTGACAGTAGCTCTAAGGGGCTCCCAGACCTCCAGGCACACCCTTTTCCCAAAAACCACGTGGTGCTACTGAGTATTGGTAGAGCTGGTCCAGCTGGTCCAGCAGGCTGTACAGCAGGCTGTGCTACTTTATGCTGGGGGAATCACAAATCTTGCAACAGGATAGCTTTGTTGACCCCTCCTTGTCACTTTTGGCCTAAGTGATCATAGGACGGGATCTGGCCCTTCCACTATATTGCAATGGGGGCTACAGAAAAGCACAGTATAGGTGGATTTGCAGAAGAGAGATTTTACATCACTGAAAATACAAGTCAACCAGCCAGAAGAGGAAGCAGCAACTCCTCTTACAAGTGGTTGATGTTTTATTGAGGTGAGTCATTAATTTAACATCAGTACTCAGAACTGGAACAGCAAACATTTGATCAAATGTAACATGGTTCAAATAAGACACGTTGGACATGATTCACAGCATGGTCAACAAGGATTTATGTTACTGCTATCAGCTACAGCTCATAAAGCTGACGGTAGAGATTAGCTAAGTATTCAATTTAGACTTGAAACAGATTAAGCCTCACATTTTGAGCGTCATATTTGTTCAAATCAACTTATTTTTAGACAAACCTGGAGGCAAACACTTTTCATTCTTGATCTGGACATCTGCCAGTGCATCAGAGCTCCTGTTTGCCACATCTTCTAGAATTTTTCAGTTTAATTTTATCTGACCTGTGTTATGGTATTGTTATATCTCTTTAATATTCAATCTGAATTCACTCATGAATGCTAGTGTAACAGGTCACATTGATGCAGTTCTCACTGTAAATTCTGGTAAAACAGCATGAATGTATGTGACAGAGCTATTTTCAAACTTCTGCCCAGGACTTTACAGTAAAGCTAATTCCTCTGTGAAAGCACATTTGGTGGTGCCCAGGTGGCCTATGAAAGGCCCACAGAATCATTTATTTTGGAAAAACTTGTGAATCTAGTTTCAATTGCATGTTGAAGAGGTAGCATGACTCATAAGCATGGTAAGAGATGATCAATGAAAGTGGAATTTGAGATTTTCCTTTATGGCCCAGCTGACATTTAGTTCCATTACATATGTTCTGGAGTCTAGATTCTCTTTCCTCTTCTGCTTCTTACTAATCATGAGATTCTGTATAAAGACTTTACATTTATGAAAACATTAAGTGAAAAGGGAAAAAAAGGAGAATCCTGAAGAGTTGGGTTCTTTATTATTTTCTGTATTCCTCTGATACCTCCACAGTCCTCAGCTTTGCAATCAAAATACAGGCCAGGTACATATGTCTTAACGTAATAAGGAGGACTGGAGCGGTGAGAGGGTGTCTCCTTCTTCTGCATTTGCTAGTGGAGCAGCTCAGTGACTCATCACAGAGAAATGAGGCTCTGCATCTTGGAAAGGTTTTCAGCAAAGTCAGTTATGGATTGTGAGACTCCTCGAGACCCCTTCTTTCATGATGATTGGTGATTGTTTCAAGCTCGGTTCTTTAGGGAACAACTTCATGCCTGTCCTAAGGAGTTGTACAGTCCTCCATCATTTGAAAAAGTTGTTATGGATGGGTAAGGGAAATATCTACCATGAAGAGGCTAGATATGCTTGAACATGACTTGGAGCTAGAGAGGAAGGTGGATTTAATTGCCCTTTGATGTCTTATCTAGCCCTGTAACTCTGCCGTAAAATGTAGCTCTAAAGACCCCTTTTAATCCAGCATAATTAGTGTTTATTGTACTCTCTTGGAGACAGATGGATCATTATTACACAGAACAGCTATCATCTTTATAATATATTTTCTCATTTAATCCTAATTTTACTATCGCATATGGAGATCTTGGGAGGCTCATCTGGTTACAGCAGCAGTATTGCATCCATTTCAGAGCGGTGTGAGCCAGCCTGGCCCTGAGCTGAAGCCAGGACTTTGTCTTATGATGATCATCCAACCAACTGTTAACATGTTCTCCATGGACAGAAACAGAGCAGGGTCAAAGACTCGGAAAGGATCACGCACAGATGTTCAGTGTTTATCTCTGTATCGTTGCAGAAGAGCCCCTGACACCCTCATTTTGGTTTTCTATCATGTATACAGAATCTCTCACATTGATTTGCAGGGAGTCAGCAAACAGCATTGTAGAGGCAGCACATGAATGTTGATTTATTTTATACCTCGGTAATATAAAGACCTCAGAGAGCGAGCTCTCTTGGAGAGCTTCTGAACTACTTTGGCAGCTATGATAGACAGGACTGCTGCAACTGACAGCATGGAAACTTTCAGCGACTGTAGGAGAATGATCCTCTGTCAAAAGCCCCCTTATTACAACGGGTCAGAATGGGTGTCTTCTAGAAACCCAGTGCAAAATAGGTCTTTTTTCAAGCAAGATTTTTCCTACAAGAGTGATGTGATAACAAAGAACAAACCACCAGGTTGCTTCATCTCAGTTTAAAAGAGATTCAAAGCAGAAAAGAGAGTTAGCAGCCTCCTTCCAAGGTGTGTGTCAAGTCTAGATATCGCAGTGATGAAGTCATTAGAATCGCAGACAGAAATGTGTAAATTGTATCTACACGTTAGAGTGCTGTCAGAGCTGTTCCCTTGGGGTTTGGACTGGGGCTTGGTTATTGTCTCTACCACTGAAGTGTTTACCTGTTGGAGCAGTCATTTCCTACTCGTTTCCCATCTTTCGCAAGACAGTTTGTGTCTTCAAACAGACACGGCCAGACAGTGTTTGGTTCGGATGGAGGCAGCAAACAGAATGGAAACAACATGCGCAGTGTAAAAAAGCCCCCTGTTAAATGCTGCAGATGCTGGTGCCAAGCACAGCAGTGCTGATAGCGTAACACCTCTGCAAGAGGTGCAACCCTGGAAAACATGACTGAGGCCAGAGAGCAACCGTCCTCCTCCCGTCCTTTCCCACAGCTGCTTTACGTCATTCCCATCTTCCAGGGTGCCGTTCTCCAGCCAGCCTAAGTTTAGCTTTTGGTGTATAAGTAGCACTAAATGAACTGTGGACAATCTAACACAGTTTTTGTGCCCAAACTTGAATTGTGGCATGAGCTAATCTCTGCAAGAGTCTTGGTTTTACAGCTGTTGCCACCCAGTAGCAAAACCCTAAATTCCCACTTCCCAGGGTGAAAAATAGATGGTTTCTGCAGAAATCAGTCTTACTGCTCTAAGGTATTTAGTAGGCACTGTGATGGAAATTCAGTAGATCCTTTGTTAAATGAATGGACCTTACTACCCCTGCACCCTCTTTTCTCCCTAAGAAAAGCAGACCCAAACCAAGTTGACCTCAGATAATTTCAGTCATTGGCTCTGGGAAAGCACAGTCTGATTCCTGATTTTTTTATTACTGTTTCTTGTTTCCAGGTCATGCATAAAAAAATTCTGGCTTGTCATTGAAAATGAAAAATGAAATCCCCTTTTGCAGACTGCAGTCGGAGGAGTGGGCTATAAACAGTAGTTTTTGTTTAGATGACGGGCTAAATTGGAACTAGAGAAATGACATGCTAGAAAATGAACTGTCAAATACAGCTGAGGGAAGTAGTGGGAAGAGGACTCAAGTTCTATTTCCTTCAATATTGATCAGAGATCAAACTAAACTGAAAATGTGAATAATTTAATTGCATATTTTATCAAAAGCAAAAATTGATCCCAAGGTCTGAATTCTGCTAGCTTTTCTTTTTTTGCAGGCAATAACATTGAGCCATTAATCTAGGAGGGAACAAACAGTTTAGAAGGCAGTCCATCCTTTTGTCTGCTTATTGGGTTTTCCGTGACGGGTATATGTATCAAGGGAGTTTATTCTCACGCTACGAGTGCGTCACTGTGGAGGGTAGCATCTTTCTATTTCTAGAAGGTGTCTAAGGAATAATTCAATTCTTCATCAAAGCAGCTCAGTTGTGGAAATGACTAAATATTTTTAAATTAAATTAAACCATTTTCTTTTTCTTGATATTTGCCAGGCACACGTACAGGGCATTTACAGCTCTGGCTTTTTTTAGGAGTGCATTTTTTTGAAGATGATGAAAACTTAATGGCTTATAAATAACAAGAGACAGCCACGTGTCGCAGCATTTTGTTACTAGTCTCCCTGCTGTATTACTTGAGTCCCAGCTGAGGATATGTTCAGATGAAGCTCGTATCAGGGATCCGGCAGCATACATTAAGAAAAGGTTATTGGGACCTGGGGGAAAATTAGTCATTTCAAAAAAAAAGGGGGGTTTCCCAAATCAGAAGGGAAGTTGTAGTGAAGTATCAGAAGCTCATAGTTTCTCAAACTGCTGTAGAACTGTGTTCTAGTTAATTCACAGGTACTTATTAATCTGAAGGTACTGATTAGCAAAGTCTCAGAAGGATGTGAGGGGTTGATAAGTAGGCAGAAGCATGGATATGTATCCAGGTGTGAATATCTAAATCAGTACTTTCACACCTTGGAGTTCACCACCCTCATTCCGTGGATTATGCACTCCCTCCACACAGCCTCTGGATCCGGAAGCCGTGCATGGTGCCCAGTGATTCCTGATACCTGTCAGTCACATTTTTCTGTGATAAGTCAGTGCTGTGGCCAGTTTAAAAAAATGGGGGTGGGATGTCGGGGGTTATTCTTTACTGGGAAAGAAAGATAAATTACCTTCTCAATAAAACATTAAGGGCTAAGGAATACATTTCTCCTCTACAGATGTGGAAGCAATATGGAAGAAAAGTAAATCTTCAGCTTCATATACCCATGCAAAATAGCACACATATAACGACCTTAAGCACCCCACCTGAAATTTGAATGTTCCAGTCAGCACTAAAATATCCAAAGTCTCTTCTGAATGCCTATAAGTTGCCCCAAAATAATAATTTGGATATGAAAACTGGTGTTTAAACTGGGACAACTGGGATCCTGTTCCCATCAAAATAGGTGGTGGAACTCCCAATGACTTCTGCATACAGAGCCAGGATTCCCATGACTTGGGATGTAGATAACTGTTTAAACTTTACCAGAAGTTATGTGGTATCCTGGTAGATATGATCAAAGACAAGATTTGAAGCTTAACTTGCTATGTCCTTTGCCACTCAGTGGTTTCTGTTAGAAGAGATCAAGCTGATCCATTTTGGGACCACGGTAAGAGATAACAGGTTAATACATTTCACCTAAAATTAGAGATATTATTGGAAAACCCAGAGAGTTCTCAAATCCTCCATGAGATTTGTTCTCTGTGTGTATAGAAAACAACTGCTGTGATTCGTACTGTTTTCTTAAATCAGCTTGTGCCACATTGTGTTTTGCAGTCTGCAGGATGCGGGTTTTTAAAGGAAGGAACATTCTGCCTGCAGCAAGCCTTCATGTTTAACTGTGTTGGGCTGCCCTGTGGTTTAATTTGCTTCAGTGAATTGGTGTTGGTTGCAGCGGCTCACTCGGAGAACTGGAGCCAGTGTGGGATGGGGAAGCCCACAGATGACGCTGCTCTGCTTGTTCTTGTTCCTCAAAGATTTATTTTAGTTACCCGATTCAAGAGCTTAGGGAAAAAAAAATGGTTTAGGCAGTTTACCTTTTGCTGTTCCTAGTTGTCTAGTCAGAAACACCAGAAACAATTTTTATCACAAGTGGAAAAGGAAATGGAAAAGGGAGTCATCCGGGTCGCGCTCAGAGGAGGTGCCTTTGACTTGCACAAGCAACTTTGTTTCCATCCCCTCCCAGCAAGCAAATTTGTGATTACACATCTTTAGGTGGCGTGACTCATGATGAATCTTAAATCCCTCCCTAGTAGTGGAGGATGTGGGTTAGGGATTCAAAATACAAATGTAGCTCCAAAAGCACTTAAGAAACTGCAGATGGGGGGAGGAATTAAGAGGCCAGGGAGAATATGGTTACGATAATCAAAAGAGAGTGCAGTTCCTGAGTGATGTACGACTCTAAAGTGTGTTCCAATTTTTGGACCTCACAGGATGAGGGGTGCATTTAATTCAAGGAGGAAGCATGTGTGTGCGACCATATTGCTTTCTGCAGAAGAAGGACTGCAGTTGTGAATTAAGACAAATAAAGGGAAGCTTTAGCAAATAGCTTTCTCAAGGTGAAACCCTAGCAACAGCAAAAACTTTCAGTAGGTGCTGAGTTCTCTTTTCAAGTTCTGTGGAGACAGAAAAAGATGTATGTTAATTACTAGGTTGATACTTTTCAGCTGATGAGTGACACTTCCTGCTTAAGATTGCGATTGGCTTTTAATTATTTGGAAGACTGGCTTTCCTTTGTGGCTCACAGCAATTATTCATCTCTTCTTCTCTCAGAAGATACGGAGCAGTTTTACGCAAGCAGGAACTTTTTATGGTGAAATGGCCATTAATTATTGCAGAGTCATTTCCAGCCTCACCATTCCACTTTTCCAAGGAATCATAATTCAACCACAAACATATGCTTTATGCTAATGCTAATACTATGCTACAGAATGTCCTGCCTCGAGAACCTTTATTTATCTATGCAAAATCAAGTTCAAATTATGTTGATGTGCATATATCTTAGGTTTGACCACATGCTTTATATTACAGAAGTTAATTCACCACAAACCCCACAGTTAAAAAGGATCTTCCTGCATGCAACGAGCTGGACAAGCATGTATTAATCTCCATTAAATATTTTGAAAAATCAGCTCATTATGAAGTTGTTTTAAGAGCTAACCTGAAAATACATACTACAGTCATAAAACTGAACTCTCCAGCTCTTATCATGACTTGAAAGTTTGGATTAAATGTTATATTTATGCTCAGACATGTTAATTATTGGGTGCTGTCTGTGGCAACTAATCCGGCCCTTTGAAACCTGAGAACAAAAGCATTGCTAGAAAGGGGATGCAGTCTAGGGACTGGAAAGTGGGGCAGGGAGTCAAACCGGAGCCCTGTTCCCCATGTTGCCATCAGCATGATGTTTGGTTTTGGCCATTTCAAGCAGACATGATGTAAAGATCACGGAAATCAATAGGACTCTTTCCATTAATCTCTGTAGGCTTTGGATCAGATCCAAACAAGCTGCACCTCAACTTGTTCATCTCCCAGAGTGCATGTGCACGCGTGTGTGTATGAATTCTTGCAAAGGGTCACACAGTGAAGCCATTTCTTAAAGATCACTAGGCATGAATAAAGAGGCCACAAAGTCCCTGGTAATAAAGGCAGTGTATTAGCGTGCATTTATGGTGACTGTTACTTATGTGATCCCTTATGTGCCCCCTCACTTGCCAGCACAAACACACACCTAGCAGTGCTTACCTGTTGTATACCTTCCTCTTTTCCTTACATTTTTCCTTGGTTTTGCTCCTCTGCTCAAGTCACGTTTAGGCCTTCAACATGATTCCCCACCCATCCACAGTGCTTTCTTCCTAACGTCTTTTGATGGGAATTCATCAAATCGTCAGTTGTGAGCCCCTTCCCTTTCACCAGATATGCCAAAAGAACGAGTCTCTTGTTTAGGTTGTGAGCACCAGGCAGCCAGGCTTGTTGCTCAGCTCAGTCTGGCAGAGTGTCAAACATATTGCTAGTCCTTGACAAATAATAAATGCTAAACCAGCCACTGCTTCCTAGCAGTTCTTTGTGATCGTTGTCATTGCCACGCTGCTGAACTCACCCATGCACACTTGCCTGGTGCTACCATTGCACGTTCCAGTCCTGCCCTTAAGAGCAGTGAATTTCCAGATGCCTCAGCTGGAATATTGTGCTAGCCTACGGGTTAAATTTTCACCCGAAACAACTATGTTTATATTGTGGATTCCACGTAACTAAAAAGTGCAGGGACCATCCAGGGCACAGGTTTTAAGCCAACCAGTCAAGCAGGAGCCAGAGCTATGGATACACTATTATTTTCTGTCGGTCCTGCAAGGATGGTACAGAGCTGAGAGAGGACACCCTAAACAAAGTGGGGGAGCCTATCTGCAGATGCTGAAGGTATACAGATTGTTGTTGATTGTGATCTGTTCTTTTCCTTGTAGAAACTATACAGGAAAGAAATCAAGCCACCTTTCAAGCCTGCAGTGGGACGGCCAGAAGACACCTTTCATTTTGATCCAGAGTTCACATCTCGGACCCCCACAGGTTAGTAAGGTGGCACATGGGTATTTCATCTTTTCAATGACTAAATTCATTCTTCCTTCCCCTCCACATTCCAACAGGGTCTAAAAGTCTGATTGCCTGTGGGATTACTGGGTTTTGCAATATCCAGCAGGAAGCAAAGATTGGTTTGCATTTCCAGGAAAAGAAGCTCATAAGCATTTCACCAACATCACGTTAATTTGTCTTCAGGAAGGACAGCTTTCACATTTTTAATAGAAAAAATAACTATTGATTTGCTGTTTTAGTACTCTTATCATTGCTTGCATTAGGTGAATTTAACTATTTTAAATTACCTCAGCTTCAAAGAACTTTGTATCTCTGCAATTTATTATATAATTATATATTCCATAGGTGTTTTCTTTAATTATGAAATCCCATAGACTATGGGCTGTTGGAAGTTAATACATGGCTAACAGTAATGAGGAGTCATCCAGTTCTCAGACCAGTGGAGTTATGCCAACAGGAAATTTGGCCCACAGTATTTAAAAAATACTTGCAGTGAGAATGTTGTTCCTATAATTTTTATTTCCTAAGAGGAATATCACATTTTGTGCACTACATACATGAGGGTGATTGTTGCACAAAACACCATCTTTCCACTCTTCTCGTTGAAAGCAAGAATACCAGTAACCTCAGAGTGGTAATTCCAGTTATAATGTAGCCTCTTGCTAGACGTGGCTAAGCTACATTACATTTCTGCCTGTGATATCCCTATGTAAAGAGGTACCTATTTATACATTGTAAAATATAAAAACTTAGTTAGCTGTTGTTAGTAAAAGGCTTTGAAGATGGTAAGCGCTGTAAATATTACACAGTATTATTGTAATAACCAAGTACAAGGTCTTAAGCTTCAACCCTCAAATTGTCCCAGAACTGTCACAGTGAGAGTAAAAGATCTGAACTTTCATTTTGAAAACACTTGCATTATATCACATGAGTTAGAGCTGAGATTTCCTGTAGTTTTCATTCAGGCTCATCATGACCTTCAGCCTTTTTTCTTAAAACTAGCCCAAACCTCTATTCAAAGCCTGGCTCAAAGCTCCTTTCATGGGGTATGAAATAGTGGTACTGACTCAAAATCTTTTATCAGTCTTGGTTCCTAGGTTTTTTTGCAAGGATGTGCCGACTTTCACAAGCTATAAAAATATTTCAGTCTGGTTATTTGGATCCAACTGGTGTATCCACCTGTCTCCAGTATACGTTAGTCATGTTTTGATACTCCTATCCCACTGCATGGCAACAAATGATCTTTGGATACCAGACATTTCACACCTTTGATTTTAGCTTTAATTTAGGTTTCAGAGGAACTCATTTCTCTGAATTATTGGAGACTGCAAGTTAGTCTCATCTTGAGAGAAGTGCAGGCTGATGCTGCCCTGGAAAGTCTCAGAGAAGCACTGAGAGTTTGGATTGCTTTGGAAGTTCATACTTTATTGGTTGTACTGGCATGAAAATCTTTGTACTTCATGCATGTGCCGATGCCCAGGGTTATATTTTACACTCCACATGTTACTATGTTTGACTAATTCAGTTTGATCTCTCATGCAAGACGCTGACTTGGACGGTTTGTCGTGGTGTGGTGGCTGGGGTGGGGAGACAGCCTGCCTCAATTCTGCTTCATGCTATTACAGAAAGTGGCCTGAGAATCAAACCCTGTCATTTCAAAATAGGTATGGAAGTGTGAATCTCTATACTCGAAAGAAAAGCCCTTGCAGCATATTTTGCAGCCCCTGACTGTTGACTGATTGGATCAACCAGATGGGGAGAGCTTCACAAGAGTGTTCAATACTGGCTCATATTGCTGGTGGAATCTAACAAGAACCTTTTTAATTTTGTGGGTTTTTGTCATGCCACAGGGCCCATACAAACTTACCCTGCTACTGAGAATGTACCCAGACAGAAAGCACTGTAATAATTCCTGTTTCATGATGATAATGCAGTCATTGTGTTTTAAGGAAGCTGTCAGAAAGGTATTACCAAGGAGGGGACACAGATACACACAGTCATTTTGCACTCTGTCTTTATGAATGAGTTCTCCTGCCTGGAAACAGGTATATGTCAAAGTTTTGGGTCCAGTAACTTGCCAGTCCAGTAATTTGCTGTATCTCAGAAAGTTGTTTCAACCTCTCAGCCTGGAGGTTGAAACAGCTTTCTGCACGTTCCTAACTTCAGCTCTGAGTGTGCCAAAGATGTGGTTTCTGACATTGACTTCACTTTTTCTCACTCACGGATTCATCTGAGTTAGAGTCACTTTTTCTGGCCACTTGTTTCCTAAGTCCACTGCTGTGGGATCAGGAGACTGAAGCAGTCCAGGTTATAAATGGTGATTTGAACAAGGATCAAACCAAGATTGTTCTGGTCATCCAGCTTAGGTTGCAGTCCACAATTGTTTGTATTGTTGTAAGTGATGGGGCAGCATGCTGTAACTGGTAAGGATGTCTTAGGCTGGCTTTATGGCTGAGAAAAAAATATGTAAAACTGCACCTGAAGTATCTAAATTTCCTCCTCTGCAAATAAGATAATAGTGCTTGCTAAGCCCAGTGAAACATGCTGAAGTAAATTACTTAAGATTTATGAAGCCTTTGAAAATCCTGTGAAGTTAGATGCTCTAGTGGGATAAAGCATTATGACTTTCACAGGGAGAAAGATAACTGTTATACAAGATTGGTATTTGCAAGTGGGTCTAATTCAGACATATGAAATTATTCTGGATTTATCAAGACTAGGAAAACGACTTAGGTTTCATAGCTATCAGTTAATTAACATGATTTAAACATAATTTTGCAGTATACACAGGTGTTTTAGCATTTAATTCTTATGATGGGCGTATCAGTTGGTGATGATGAATATTTAATATTGCACACCAAATAATCAATAGTTCTTCTCCAGTGTTTGATAAAGAGACTGGCAGTGAATTGTGAAGGAACAGTTATTTTTAAATAGAGATGACCTAGCACTTACGTTTTAGAGATGGATCGCAGATTTTCTGAAGTTCAGGAGTGTTCAGATTTGAATTATTGTCATTCCTCTTTTAAAAACAAACATTCTTTCTTCTTAATTAATCCCTCTTGGAAAATCACTGTTGTATATCTGCCACTGTAAGAAGTATCCAGTGATGCAAGACGTCTGGTGTGATTCATCCATGTATTTGCAAGGAGAGTTGCCCATCAATACACTGAGATAAACAAATAGCCCACATCATTCTACCAAAAGGCGAGCTTCTCCACGTACTTTGCAGTGAGGTCTGACTTGCTGTGCTTATTTCTGACTCCTGTCAAAGCTGAGGCGGCTTTGTAATGAGGTATAGAATTAGCTGCAGTCTCGGTTTTGTTTATTTCTGAGCAGATAATTTGTTTTTACCATATTCTGGCTTCAGATCCTCTGTTCAGTTGACCAGTTGATTTATACAAGGAATGTCCCCACAAGGAAATACCTTTTCACATATTTTCAGGACCTCTGGCAGTACTCAGTCTCCCACACCATTGCCCTTCGCACTGATGGGTGGTGCTGATGGTGTAGGTAGGTGAGTCAGATATAAGATCCAGTGGGGATGTATTTTCTTTAGTCTAGTCTACACACTCCTACAAGGAGATAGCTTTCTAAAGGAGATTCAGCTTTGTAACCTTGCCATGGTAAATCACATGTTGCACTGCACAAAATGGGGGGCGAGGGACAACACAACACAGACACACAAAAAAACCCAAATAAAAAGTGGGAAAATTTGAGTACTGTAGGTTCTGTAATACCCAGCTACCCAGGAATGGTTTGTAATGCGACTCTTACTTGCTTGTGAAAATACCTGGGACAAAACATAACTGGGGAGAAAGATGTCTTTGAAGCTTTTCAGAATTTTAAGTGAAGTGGAACTCTTCTCAGTTTGGCAGGCTGTTTCTCTCACTGAGTGGTGGCATAGGTACCAGGAACTGCTTTCTAGTTATTCCATTCCAAAGGTAGAATAATTCAGGGCTCTTTTCTCTCCAGCTGTTCCTCCCCTGGATTTGCCCTGTCAGGGGAAGGAGTGGGGAGAAAATCTCCACGAAGGTTAGTTAAAACACTCCTAGCCATTTTGTTCACCTAGGGACAAGTCAATCGGCATCTTCCCTGGAATAGGTTCCATCTCCTAAAGCTGCTGCAGAAAGATCCTTGTGAGGCTGCAAACCACCACTACCAGAGCATCATGCTTTTACACCTGCTTCAAGCCCCATCTTCCCTACATTCTCTCAACCCACACAACATATCACATTACCCAGAAAGCACTTTAGCCTTTGTAATTTCTGTAGTCAAGGTGTGCTGTGAAGGACAGATATAGCATTTGCAGCTTTTTTCCACTCCCTGGAGAACCTCTGCTAAGCCAGAGGGGTGCCCAGCCTTGAGCCATCCATCTGTCTCCTAGCCTTGCCACCCCGAGCCTTCCATTTCTGTGTGGACTCCTGGCACAGGCAGTGCTTGGCCTAAGGATGAACATGCTCCGTTCAGTATCCGTGAGGAGAGATCCTGGCAAACAATACCCCTGCACTGTTCAGATCCAGAGGAAAGGGATGGGGAAGGCACACCAAAGCCTTGATATGGAGGTGGTTTATATTCACATGTGTCTGCCAGTTTAGCAGAATCTGCTCTTGACTGGCAGGGGTGACTTTGTCTGCTGCAGGTGCTGTGCTATTACTTTCTGATCTTTTGTGCCACTCATGAGGCCATTTTCTTCCTTCTCCTACAGATTCCCCAGGCGTTCCTCCAAGTGCCAATGCTCATAACCTTTTTAGAGGGTTCAGCTTCGTTGCCTCTAACTTGGTGCAGGAGCCTGCGCAGCAAGATGTGCACAAAATCACCGTCCATCCAATTGTGCAGGTACTGATGCTGGTGTTACACTTCACATCTGATGGGCAGATACATATGTGCATAATATATTTAAACTGCCTCAGCGTTCTCACTGGTATTTCACAGCTACCCAGTGTAGGCAGAAGATGTTTACATGCAGCATGTAGGAGGTGGAAAATGAGAATTTTCTCGCAAAGGCTTTTATCTTTAAGTTCACATTTTCCACAGCTTTTACAAAGGAAATAGGAATCACGCCTTATCACAACTGAAATTAAAAGTACTTCTGAATACCTGAAACACTATTCCAATTGTGCATACAGGGCAGGTAACAAAGTGTTGTTTCTTCAGGGAAGGCATAACAGTTTTGTCTTGGATTATATGATACAGTCTGCATTGGCAAGGGGGCTCAATGACCTACTGCTGAAGGGTCCCGCAGGCACGGAGCCCAAGCTCTTGGGTGTAAGAGCTAACCCAGAGCGGCTTGACAGGGGAAGGACACTTGCCAGACGCTTGGCTCTTTGCTGCCATTCCCCTAAAACATGCTCTCCAGTTGTTGTAATTTAAATCAGAAATAAATTGCTACAAATGGCTCAGTACCTCAGAGGAACAGTGAATCGAGAGAAATAACTGGGCTGCTCAAAGATGCAGCAAATTTTCCCACAAGGAGAAAGTTCCTCTCCTATCCACAGCCAGAGGTGTACATGCCTCAAGGGGAGAGCCCCTGCCTGTGGTTTTCATAGGTTTTCATCGTTTCATCCCTATTTAAATAATTTACAGTGGAATATGTCATATTCTTTAAGATTCACTTACACAACAGTAAGTGAAATGTTACCCAAGTAATTACATCCCAAAAGTTTTATGTGTATTCGTGTGGTTTGCTTTGTAAAAATGTATTGAATGTTAACATGTGCATGTCTTATAATTTAGAAGGTTCCGTGGGGACTTTGCTAGTGAGGTTACATTTTTTGACACAGGATCCTAGAGGATTTTTAGAGCTGCTGATTGTTTCTTGAGTCCTGGGATGGAATTTGCAGCAAGGCCTCAGATTTGGGTTTCACAATCTAACCAATCCACCTGCCCAGATATTTTCCAAAGGGCATATGAACTACTGATGCCATGGCTCATTCTATTACCCTTCAATAAATAAAATCAGAAATTTTAAAGTATTTTCCTACTATTTTCACTAGTAACATATTTTCTTAAACTAAGTTGGCTTAAAATAGTAAATTTTCTCTCACGCAGAAATCATAATTAAACATATCCTGGAGAACACCTCCAGTGGTCTGGAGGCACACCCCATATGTGGGAATCTGTTTTGAAGACTGTGAAGCTATTAGTAGGTTACAAGTTATCTGGCCCCTCAGTAATTAGAAATAAGTTAATAACGCCAGGGTACGTAGGTTTGTCAGGGGATTTGGGCCCACAGTTTCCTGTGGATTTCTAATAGGAGGTGGTGGTCTGCATTCCGTAAGTAGTTTAGAAAATCACTGCTTTCATGACATTACTTCTACATGGACAATTCTATCTTACAGACTGGAAAAACATAAAAAGGGAGGGGGCACACTTGTTTAAGTAAAGAGCTTTGGATTTTTTTAACTGGACTTAGAAAAACTGTTAAGGACAAGACAGCTCTGTGAAGGAGATGAGGTTAAACACTTCCTTTATTAAGGTGAGGCTAGTCCTTGCTTTACAGACCCATGTCCTGATTATGCTGTTTCTTTTGTCTTTCC